TTATATTAATATAAAGAGATCAGATTCCATGTGTTTCATAGGCACAGTTCTTAGAAATAGCCGTATTTCTTTCACACACTTCTTCCCTTCCTTCCCTCACTTTTTTGTTTCCATTGACTATTGCCAAGACATACTTTTAATTCACTCTACAATCATAAGTTTAATTCCCCAGCAATCATAATACTCAAAAACAAAAATAGGAAGAGCCTAGTTCTACAAGCGTATGAACAAGGGCTAAAATGACAGTCACATCACAAGATGTCTGTACAGTTTTTTTTTTTTGTATTTACATGAACTGCCACATGTCACAGTAAACATGGTGTTTATTTGGGGGCACTGACTTATTTCATTAAGCATAATGGTTTCCAGTTTCATCCATTTTATTGCACAAGATTTTTGTAAAGCAATCATAATGCACTTTTGGCTTTGTAATATAGGTGGGCATACTATGAGTAATGCCACCAAAAAAGAAGGAAGGGAAGAGAGCTAGTTAATGGTAGGATTTTGTTATCTAACTGGAATTAAGTTTGTGTGAAGATGAAGCCTTCTGGAAAATGGAGGTGTATTTTGTATGCCATAGAGCAGCTAGGAAGAAAATTTTGCAAAAAGGCCATTAATTGTCAACCAAGGAACCAAAATTGCAGCCTAGAAAACATTCATGTACTCACATTGGAGGCTTGGTAAAGAAGATTAAGAACAAATTTGGAGAGCTGCGTAAACATCATTCTTTGTACATCCCGTGATGTAGTCTGTTAGTACTGCATGGTACGATAGATTTGACATTCAATCACTATTGTTTTTCATGAGACCACTTTCTACCTAAAGTTAAAGTTTTACCCACAGCATTTTTGGAGGTTTGAAATGTTTTTAAGCAAATGGATACAAATCCATAGAACACATTTTATTTTAGCTTATTCCTGTGTTAAATTTTCTGCTTCATCAACCTCCCCTTAAAAATATTAGGTTAGGACCCTGTGCAGTAGCCTAGTGCTTAAAGTCCGCTCCTTTCATGCACCAGGATTCCATATGGGGGCCAGTTCTAATTTCGACAGTCCCAGTTCCCATCCAGCTCCCTGCTTGTGGCTTGGGAAAACAATTGAGGCTGGTCCAAAGCCGTGGAACTTTGCACCCATGTGGGAGACCCAGAAGAAGCTCCTGGCTCTTGGCTTCAGATCAGCACAGCTCTGGTCATTACAGCCACTTGGAGATTGAATGATGGGGTGGAAGATCTTCCTCTCAGTCTCTTCTTCTATCTGTATATCTGACTTTCCAATAAGAATAAAAAATAAGTCTTTTAAAAAATTAGGTTAGGGCCCGGCGTGGTGGTGCAGTGGTTAAGGTCCTCGCCTTGCACGCCCGGGATCCCATATGGGCGCCGTTTCTATCCCAGCAGCCCCGCTTCCCTTCCAGCTCCCTGCCTGTGGCCCGGGAAAGCAGTCGAGGACGGCCCAAAGCTTTGGGACCCTGCACCTGTGCGTGGGAGACCTGGAAGCGGCTCCGGGCTTCGGATTGGCATAGCATCAGCCCATTGCGCTCACTTGGGGAGTAAATCATCGGACGGAAGATCTTCCTCTGTCTCTCCTCTCTGTATATCTGCCTTTCCAATAAAAAAATAATAAAAATAAATCTTTAAAAATAATTAGGTTAATAGGGGATCACATAGAGATACATACAAAGGTCTTTGTTTATATACATGCTTAATTTTGTAGCAGTAGGTGATAACTGCATGTTTACCTGACATTTACTCATTTATGCTACCAATACTAACATGTTCGCTGGTCTGCAGTATTGGACTTGGTGCATGGAGCCTATAATAACACACATGGACTACTGTGCTGGTGAGATAGCTAAACTTTAATTGTGGCACCAGGTTTTTATAGACTGAGGGACACATAGGATACAGGAGGAGGTATTGAGGAACTTAGGTAGTTCCCACAAAGCTTTCTACAGAACCCATCAATTGTCTCCACACCCTTGTTTGAAACTATCTTTTTGTATGTCGCATCAAGTGTTCTCTTTCATATGATATCCAATAGGTTGTTCTCAAAGAAGTGCCATCCTATTAATTGCCATCCTATATCTGCTGTCCTTCTACAAATCATTGTTGTGCACTAACATAAAGATGCGTGCATTTAAATGCATGTTCTGGCATTACACATAGCCACGGGGACAAATGCAGCCAATAATTTTACTATTTAGTTTAATGAATCAAAATTACCATTTCATGACTTGCTTAAGATTCTAATAACTCTCAAAGTGGAGTGTACATAGATGTGATTGCATATAGAAACTACAGGATGATAATTACTTTTGTTCTGAATTACACAAACATAGAATATGGTGGGTATTCACACAGTGTCATATTTAGAAATACGTACTATACATACTCCCCATATTTACATAGTTTTGTGTATGTGTGTGTGTGTGTATATATATATCTATAGTCCTGAATATTAGTATATGAGTATGTGCTCATATGAAAACACACATGAGCACCACATGGTACAATGAAGCAGTCTATGTGGGCTTTGGTCCTTGGCAACAAGAGTGTGTTCCTAGCATAGCTGATTTGTGTGCAGAGCGCTTATGGGTGTACCCTGACAGCTCATACTACCTTGCCTTTAGCTTGCAGCAGCTCTGCTACTCATTAGCTGTGTCAGCTGGCCTCTGTAAAAACACAGTGAGGATGTCTTCCTCATGGATGTCTTCCTCCTCGAAAGTGGAATGATTTCTTAGAGCGTGCCAAGTCCTAGAAAGCACTAGGCAAATAACAACTGATCAATAAATTCCAGCTTATCATTATTGAACATGTTTTGATTCTGTTCTTCAGGAGATAAAACATTTTCATTTGCACTTGGAGCATGTGTTAAATTTAGAATGTGTCTCCCAGATAAAAGCAGATCTTCATAACGTGTCTTTCCTTGCGGTGGCATCTGCAAGCATCACACTTTTATCTGGGATCCCCCCTTAGAGTTTGCGCATTGTACTGTACAGCTATTAACATGTCAGATTTTTCCTAGAGCATGGTTGCTCTCCAAGCAGATGAGAAGGTGCATTTACGATGCTTTGCACAGGCCTGTTGTGTTAGTAGGAGGGAGGTGTCATGAGGATACAGAGTATTCCAGCATCCGCGTCAAGTGGTCTGACTCAACTGCCGTCTCTCCCTGTTCTGATTCTTTCTACAAGTAAGGGCAGGAGTGTTTGTCTTCTGTTCATCGTTATGCCCTCAACACCTCCAAGAGTGCCTAGCACAGTAAGCACACACAAATGTACCGTTACTTCCATCTCAAACTACTCACATCTCACTGTCTCCTGAAGTCCACTGATTTTGCTCCAGTCTCAGTCTCCTGTTTTGAAACTACTGCCCAAAATGTGTCTGACACTCCTGTAAAATTGCAAGATTTATTAAGGATTGTATTTCTCTCCTGTACAAGTATTATTATTAAGTATTCTGTTTCTTTGCTTTTTACCAATAAAGATCTAGCTGACCAGCCTGTTAAGTCTGATGCCCTCATTTCCTCTGTTGCCACCTCCTCCCTTCTGCCAACATCAGTTGAGATTCCCCCTCATCTATTTGGCTCAGCTTCTCTTCTTAAAATTTCCATTTTATCTGCATTTTTTCCCCATTTCACTTGGCCATTTTTTCTGTTTTGGAAGCATTATTTTTGAATGCTAGGCTTACTTCTGAAATAGTGAACTCGTCTGTTTTATTTTGATATTCACCACAAAGCATATTGTTACCAACTGCTTGGCAACAGCAAATATTTTAATCAAGACACATTTATTGCTACCTATGGAACCCAGTGACAGGCTGACATCACTGAAAAGTGAATTTCTTTAACTTCTGTTTGCTGTATAAATGATGAATCAGGAATGCAACAGCCTTGCAAGTTGAGCATCGTAGTATTGTAAAATAGTCCTCACGTGTGATATCAGACACACAGAATCAAAATCCAAGCTATGTGACTTTGGAATGATGATACCCTCCTCTATGAGCACTGGTGTTTCTGTTTGAAAGTAAGACTAGATAAGCCACTTTGCAGCATGGAGATGACTCCTAATCAAAGTACTGAGACTGGATTTGTTATTAAGTGAAAACACATTTTCTTCCTCTTGCAGAAGTGTTACTTAAATAAAAATAAAACTCATTTCCCAGGAATAATATTGCAATTTGGTTGTTCCATGTCTGTTAACCTTGTCTGAATAAGCTGAGCCAAATATAATGCCCGAGAGTCGGGTGGTGCTGCAGTATGTTCCTTCTAGAAACTCTGGTAAACACCAGCTCTGACAGCTCTGATAATTGTGCACTGCGACTCTCCTATTGTTCATAAGGTTCTTTTACACACTGTACATTCTGTTCTGTAGAGTCTTCTAAAAAAAATCTGTGGCATACAAAATTATAGCTGCTGCTATTTGGTGAGGGCATTTTCACGTTTAAGAATTCCTCCACATGCATTTCTCATGTTGACAAGTCTGTGAGCATGGTAGGTAGATACCCACACATGACACACAGTTTGTACAGGAGGAAATGGAGCCTCTGAGCAGCAGTCATCCCAAGTTTGATAGTTAAGATATGGCAAGAGGGGTGGATGTTTAGACTAGTGGTTAAGTTCCAGTCAGGGCACTTTTGGTTGTCTTTGACTCCTAACTGCAGCTTTGTGTAAATGCAAAATCTTGGAGACAGTGGATGCTGGTTCAAGTGATTGGGTTCCTGACACCCATGTAGGAGGCGGAGATGAAGCGTTAAGCTTTCAGCTGTGGTTATGGTGGGCATTTGGTGCTTGGAACCTCTGGATGAGAACTGTTGGTATGTGTGTCAGTGTTTCTGTGTCAGTAATGACAAAACAAGAGACAAGCTGTGTCAACAGTAAGGCTGCATGAACACAACTGACTGCCAATTGGATGCCATTTGTCTTCTACACAGGTTGCAAACGGAGGGCTACTCCAAAGTTCCGATAGCTCCCTTCTCCCTAACAATGTTTCTCCATTCCTTCCTGCAGAGGCTTCCATCCTGAGCTATGATGGCAGCATGTACATGAAGATCACCATGCCTACAGTCATGCACACGGAGGCAGAGGATGTGTCCTTCCGCTTCATGTCCCAGCGAGCTTACGGGCTGCTGGTGGCCACCACGTCCAGGGACTCCGCCGATACTCTGCGCCTGGAGCTGGATGGAGGACGTGTCAAGCTCATGGTGAACCTAGGTACCGTGTGAAGTACCCTCTGCCACTCTGTCTGGGCTTGTCTTCCCTTTTCTGAGTTCCATTGGTTTGATTGAATTCTTTGTTTCTTCAAAGTTAGCTGCTCACCTCTTGTTTGACAGACCAAGGATAAAACTTAACAGCCACGAACACTTTTTCTCTTTGTTTCTGCATGAGATTTTGATGTCGATTTCTGGTTTCTGACAGTGGTGGTTTCTTTAGTAGATGATTTGTTTTCTAAGTTTCCTTTCTTGGTTTTTTGGAATCGTTTAGCTTTGTGTAAAACACGCTACTTTGGTCCATCTTTTGATCAATCATATTCTCATTAAGTCCAGTACCTTAGTCACCACTCAAAACAGTCAAGGCTGAGAGCAGGGATAGGACAGAAAATGGGAGAAAAATGGGAGGGTGCAGTTGCAGGCCACCCTGCTGCATGAGCAGGAAGAGAGCGGCCCGTTCCTGTTCGGATGACCCTGATGACTGTTACCTTACTCCTTTCCCTTCTTGCCAGCAGGGGACAGATCAGATTGTTGCTGTTGCCTACTAGAACAATTTTCTCACTTTGGAGTCTCTGGCAGGTGCACAGCACATATGCCTCCCTCTCTGTATCCCCACTATCCTTTCTGTAAAGATTACACGTTAGACTATTGTGCAACAATTGCTTTGTCCTCCTATATATATATACACACATCATTCAGCCTTGGGAAATTGTGACAATGTCAAGTCTGTAGTATTACTGGGACAGCATCTGTCCTATCACCGTAATTATAACATACTTTGGAAATTCTGCTTTGACTCTCATATTCTCTCCTACTTTTGACCCTCTTTCTGGAATTATAATTGATTGCTTATGGAAAATGGGAGTCTCTTGGTTTGTGGAGGGGAAAAGAAATCCTGCTATTTCTGCTGTTTGCATTTGGCAGAATGTCAGTGTCCCATGTTGACAGGATCAGTGATACAGCTGAGCCCAGACTTGCTCAGCTGATGGATTCGTTTGGAATGAGAAACTCCTCTGTGAAGTTTTTAGTTTGAAGCCTTCTCAGAGGCCTGAGAATGTCATAGACAAACATGTAAGATGCCAGACCACATGAGAAGGAGAGATTGGAATTCATACCAGTCATACCTCCGGTCTGGTCATGAAGTCACACTTGGGAAATGCCTGCGTTACAAGCGTTGAGTCTCAGGACACAAAGGACTGTTTTGAGCAGTGGCTTATTTAGTTGTGTTTGTTTTCTCCTGGTTTGCCGCTTTTGCAACACTGTGTCCTTTCCTCATCCAATTTCATTTGAATTTTGTTGAGTACCTCTGTGGATTTTCATTTGTTTGGTATGTGTGTGTTTGGTTAATTCAGGTTTTTATTTTTCTCTTTTGCTGTATCTTTTTGTTTGTCTGTGTTCTTGTGTTTCAAATCCTTCCCACCATCAACCATGGTAAATCAAAAGATGGTATTCAACCCTTCAAAGGCCCAAAGCCTGCGGCCCGCATAGCAAACAGCCTTGAGAACAGAGAGTACTGAGCAGCCTACAGGGACTGGCATACCCCGACCCTCCCATCTTCCCTTTCCTGAACCAGACTCCCTGCCCACCCAAACCGACATAAGAGGATATTCCCTGAGACAAACACCTAGAGGCTGATGGTCTGCTTTTGTAAAACAGCAGAAGGAAGGAAAAACAAATACAGAACTGATATACAACCCATAACTTCATATAGGCAAAAGGTTAGCAGGTGTTATCTGCGTCTATTTCAATATAGGTCGGAGACACCCATGAAAGGGCAATTCAGTTCCTCGAGGTTCAGGGGCGTGCACAGAGTGCCTTTAAACTGACTGTTTTCTTCAATATTAGATCGTGTTCTATAAAGATCAGAAGCTCGACTGTGACAGGTCTTACATCCTAGGAAGAAAAATCAAGGGGCGGGGATTAAAAAGAATGAACAAAATACAGAAGAGCTGGGCAGATCCTCATCTGTTGTCCCATCCCTATCCTGCACACGTTGCATTATTACTAGAAGTGTTATTTTTCCCTTTGAACTCTGGTGGAAATGCTTTTTGGAATAACTTTGCTTTTGCCTTTGGCCTTCTTTTATCATCCTATTGATTTAATTCCTCCTAACATTAAGTGCTTTAGGTAAAAAAGAATCAGCCGCACCTGTCCTCCTTATCATGTATCTGTACTTAGAACACAATACCTTTAAAGAGAGTTTATGTTCATCTCCAAAATATTTCCCCAATTATTTCCACAAAAGTAACTTCAATCACTTTGTCCCCACACTCCATTTAGGTTGAATCTTCTCAGCACATGCATAAAGTGATGATCCAGTTTTTTTAAACTAGCCACAAACATAATCACATCATTTTCGCCAATGTACCATAATTTCTAAGCATGAAGGTTTTTGTTTCTGGAAACAGTCACACTTGGCAGGGATGAAAAATACCCTGAAACTTAGAGCATGCTCAAAACATTGTGGAGTGTGTGTTGATCATCCACATTTTGAACCTTTGGCATTCAAAGATATGATCATATTTTTTATTGCAGTCCACTGAAAGGTCTAAAAGAGCTTGTCTTATTTTAATCTCAGAATAATTTCTTGAGATAAATCAAGAGTGATCGGTTGCTTTTACAGATTTGCAACAAAGAGAAATGGAGGACTTTTTAAAGCTTCCACACAAAGTTTGTAGCAGAGCCAAGATTAGAACCTGTATCTGAACTGCTTAAATCAGCGCCGCTTATCTCTTACTTCCTTCTACAAATCGATGCGGGTAGATCGAAGCTGTGACAGTCTTAAGGACTTGCTAACTGCTTCCATAATGGTCACCTTTAGAGCATGCATGGCCACGATCCCAGCCCTCCACCCCTGCCTTTGTGCCCAGTATAAATTGAGCCACAGGACAGAAAAGCCAGTCAATCCTGGTCAAGCCTTTAGGATTTTCAGCTGGATCCTAGGAGCCCTCCAGTGATAGATGCTCTAAAGGGAGTGTTCCACTGTTTTACAAAATTACATTTTGATTCTCCAGAATCAAAGGGGTGTCCTCCAACTTGGGTGAGGGTAGGTGCCGACAGTCACTGAAGACCCCCTTCTCCTCTGCCCTCCCCTTCCCGGTCCTCGCAAGGGGCATGGCCTCCTCTGTCTGGTGATCGTACCAGTTGCTCCAGGGCTGTTTGCTCCCACTTTTCTGTTGCGGTTGACGACACATGACAAACCTAACCGCACGAAACCAAACCCAGATTTTTCTCAAGAGATGTCCTTCTGGGGAATTGCTAAGCAGCCTGGCCCCTTCCTCAGAACGATTGGGTATTATAAATTGCTCAGAGTTCCGCAGAGTTCCATTGTGCTCTGTTGGTTGCTTGCTGCCTTAATGAGTAATTTCCTTTGGGAAATCCAAAGGATGACATGACCAACAGCCCATCTAAATACTGGTGGGTGAACTGAAATCAAAGAATGCCAACAGCAGTAGTATTTCCCCCTGTATGTTTCTCCATTTCCTTGTTGTTTGATTTCTCCTTTTTAATATCTGACTTCACACAAATTCTCATTGGAAGTCAATCCCCATATCACAGACCAACCCTAGATTCAGTTGGGCAGCATGAATAACAGTTAAAAGGTGACATGTCTGGAACCATTTCTGCCCAGTCCCATACTGGCACCCATTCTGATCCTCAGTAGTTTTTATAGTGTGTGTCCATGACTTTCAGAGAAATTAATAAAATGGGTAGATAACTCTGATCTCTGGCACAAAATGTTCTATCTGTTGCCAACGCTGGACAATGAACTATCTAGTCCTTAATTCATCACCCATGATTGGACCTGCTTCCACTCTTTCTCATTGAAAAATTTTTTTTCTCCCCTAGAGAGGCAGAATCACTGAGTGAAATAGATAGGAAATCAAAGGTGTTCCAGACCTCCACATCACGTGCCTGTCTCGGCTTCCCCTGAATGCTGTAGGCACTTGATTCAGTCTGAGTATTCAGGCCGGAAGACGCAGAAGGGCCCGGTGAGTGGGGTGGGTCTGGGGGCCTTTGAACTACCAGTAATCAGATAACCCAATCAAGTGTGCTGACATCTGACCTCTACCCCACACCTGACCCTACCTCTCTAAAATCTGGGATGGGTGTTTGTGCGGTTAGCTGTTTGCAAGTGGCCATTTTATGACAGGAAAAAACCAGGTGGTATTAACCCTTTCCTTACCTCTAAAGAGGATGACAAGACTGCCTATACAAATTTCTGTAGCATTCTGGGGCCCTACCTCAGGAGAGGGTGGAGGGAGTTTGTATTTAGAAAAAGAGAAAGGGTCAAATAATGCACTGAGAAACTTCATGGGCAGAATTTTTAAATGATACAGCATGTCAGACTGATTACGTTTTTTTGGAAAAGTAATATGAAAATTATGTTAATGCTATTTTTAAAGATACATCTTAAGGAGTTAAAACTTTGAGTAAATAAAATTGGATCTACATTTGGAATTTTTGCCTCATTTTCCAAGTTTAACCAAATTAATATTTCAAAGTCCGGGTTTGAAATACTTTATAAATCAATAGGCTTTTTGGATGAAAATTTTAAAAAAGGAAACATGCTTGGTGTCTATTGTGGATATATATGTATACCAGTATATATCTCTATACATATGTGTATATATATATATGTGTGTGTGTGTGTATATATATATGTATCCAACTTGACTGAATAATATACTGTACATATACACCCACCCCTGCATACTGTATATTTAGATAAAATGGCCACATTTCTTGCGTGTGTCTGTCCCCGGAAGGGTGGACTGATTGTTTTTGGATGTCTGCAGCTGTTACCTTGAAGGATGCAATTTCATCTTTCATTTATTTTTCCCCATCTAGACTGTATCAGGATAAACTGTAACTCCAGTAAGTTTTCCCTCAAGTTTCATTTTGTTCTTTAAAAAAAAAAAGAAAAAAACTGCATTTATTTTGTTTACTGTTTTATGAGCTGATATTTATTTCAATTATTTTTTTGACAGTGGAGTTGGGGGCGGAATTGGGGTTGCAGGATTGGGGGTGCCTGGGTGATTGAAAAGAGATAAATGTCTTGGGTGCGGTTTCTGACTGGGAGTAGGTCCTTTCTTTCCTTGCCTTTGCTGTGTTTGCAGAAAAGGAGGAAAGAGCACTGGTAATGAAATAACTTGGAAATGAATGGAAATGGTCAATTGTTGCCTTTGGGAAGTAACCTTTGAGGTTAACAAAATAAGCTTGAAAAGAACCAACATGCACTTCTCCACTACCAAAAACTTCAGATAAGAGAGGCAAAGTTCGTGACCCAGAAATGACTGCCAACTCTGACTTTTCTTTCCTGGCATTGATCGCCATAAGGGGGCTTTTAGGAGAGGAATGGGCTCAAAGCATTGCTCTGTGATAATGTAACTTTTTAACCAAAGGCTTGAGATGCACTCTTAATCTCTGTTGAAGGAAGAATTTTAGTCGATTCTGTTCATTTTACTGGACTCTAATGTCTCAGCTCTTTGAAGAAGGGTCCTAAGCAGGTGTAGGCTGGCAGTTTCTTGGGCGTTTTATCCTTTGTCTCAGCAGTGAATACGAACTGGGGTTGATAAGGAAGAGAGCCAGAAGCGCATGGATGGGGATGCACTTGAGGGGAGTGGGCCCAGATAGGAAAGGGAAGGAGGGAGACGTAGGCTTTGAGTGCTACAGAGCTGTTCTGCTAGTTAGGTGGTGTGACAGTCACTGTTACAAGAAGCTTACCCCAAGACTTCAATGATTCCACAGAGCAAATGCTTAGCTCTTACTGAAGCAACATCGAATGCTGTTTGGGCAATTCTTCCGCACAGATCTGTTTGAAGGAGGGATTGAGAGCTCTTGAGATGGATCTATTATCCCTGCAGTATCCTGATGGTTGTGTGCAGGCTTCCTTGCTTTGTGTGAAAATGGCAGGTGTCAATTTGACCCGTTTGCTTTGCCAGACCTGGCCGCATCCTAAATGCAAAATGAAGCCGAGGGAAGGTATTTTGTTAACTGCACATAGGAAGAAAATGTTGGACTAGCCGACATTTAACACATGTGATTCTCAGTGTCATCTCATCACCTTTTGGTTCTTGTCAGAGTTTTTCTACAGAGAAATAAGGAAAGAAAAGGAAATAATTCACCTTTTTTTTCATTTACTTGTTCCATCTTGATAGGTCTTTTACAGATGTTAGTTTCACCTTTTTATGATGGGAAATTTGTGATAGTCATAAAATTTCCTGGAAAATGTGAGTTATGAAAAAATACGCATATAATTCAAAGTTCGCTGTCACCCAAATACCCCGATCTTTTATATTTCTTGAGCTTGTCAATCCACCCTCATGTTCTTAAAATAACAAACTAATGAAACCAAACTTTATGCTTTTAAATTTTTGGCAAGCAAGCATTCTACACATACCAGTGAAGTAGACTTTTACATCCGACTTAAAAATCTCTTTCTCAGTTAGAGCAGTTTTGTGCTTGTCTTGGGATATGTTTCAGTTATTTCAGACAATATCCAGTTTTACTGTTTTTGAATATGTCTGGTTAGCCAGAAATTTCTCAAATGTAGACTACTAAGAGCCCAATTGAAATGTCTTTTTCTCCAAACTATGGAGTTCCTTGTGTTTTTTTTTTTTAATTTTCTTTACCGCAGCTTTATTGAAGAATAATTGCCATAGTACAAAATTTATATGTTGTAAGCTTACAGTTCAGTGACTTTAATTAAGTATGTATAGTTATCTAAACCACTAAAATCACATTTGAGAACATTTGCATGCCCCCAAATTTCCCAGATGCCCATCTGCAGCTGATCTGTACCTCTGTCCTTAGCCTGGGGCAACTATTGATGTCCTGTTTCCATTAAACCCTCTAGTTTCAGATATTTCATGTGAGTGAAATCATATAATGAGGAATCTTTTTTACCTGACTTCCATTTTTTTTTTCTCAGAGTATTTCTATTGGACACTTTTCCATTTCCTTTGCTAGAGTCTTTAAGAAGGAACTAAGAGGGCTGCCAGGCACAAAGTTGGAAAACCTGATACCCCTAGCACATCCTTGCTCCAGGGACTAACCTGAAAGACAAACATGGGGCGGTTTTTAGATGCGGAGATTGTGATCTTGTGTGATGGCACTGTCCACACTTCCTTAGGGCACTGACGGCAGGAATCCCGTGAGAACAGCCATGGAGTGTGATCTGAAGACAAGGCGTACAATTCTTTCCTGGAAAGGCAGTGAGCCAGAGGACAGCACGTTTTCTCAACCTGCTAAGGCATTTTCAAATCAGAACCAGCGCACTGAGAGGGGAGTGTGTCAGCCAGGATGTGCTCCTAAACTTTGGTCGTAGTACACAAATAGCATCACATTGGTTGAACAGTGATCCCTGGGGAAGCCAAAGACTTTTAATACTCAGTTTTTTAATTTGTGCCCTAGGTTATGTGAAATCACAAAGCAAACATGATATATTTTCCTGAAATGAATTTTAAAGAATGACTTGAAGCAAAAACTTAAATTTCAGTTAGAGTGATATATTTTCTAGGAGAAGGCAAAATAGCATGAATCTTTAAAAAAAAAAAAAAAAACCAAAACTCCAAGATCTTTTCTCTATCTTTTCTGATCTATTTTTGGTGTCATTAGCATTTGGGTGGAAAAGGAGAAGAAACGAGAGAAAACACACAAAAGTGATTGGAACTTCTAATCTGTTCTCACTGCATCTGTGAGAATTCACAGGGCAACATGAGATCCTTTGTCGCATGACACCGGCTCTCACTGTCCGGAATAGGAAATCGGATGTTTTGGCAGCCTGCTTTTGAGAGGGAGAGGACTTGCCTCTCACCACTCAGTCTTGTTTCTTGCTATCACTTCAGTGAAGTAATAGATTGTCGTTGATACAAGATTAGAAATAGAGTTTTTACATTCCACTGAAGGGAAAATGCTGATGGAATGCAGTTTGCTTGGAAGTTATTGAATTTTCCCAATACTTTTCTAGGATCATCGTCCACTAAAATCACACAGGTAAAGGACTTGAGCTATTGTGTTCTTGCTTATCTTCCACGAAAGTTGTTTTGGGAAGTGGCAGTTTACAACAAATAGTGTAAGTTTCTTTTTAATGGAGAGTATGAACAAGGAGATATCATTTGCATCCTGGAGAAAACAGCTGATCAAGATTGAAGGCAGTGATCTACAGATAAATGCAGTGTTTTACTGTATCATTCTTGCTTTCCTGGGTGGCCTCTATGTCACTGACCACGGCCTGGCCCCATGCACAGGGAGAGTTCCCCGCAAGAAGCAGATTGTTCTAAACAGTCTCTGTCTGTCACCCTTTCTTTCTCTTTCTCAGTACTTTGACTTTCCCACATCTGTGATGTATTTATTTTTTCTTATTGCAAGTCTTACTGCAGTGTTCTGAATTCTCTAAGAGCATCACACATTGACTTGCTAGCTGCAGTCACCAAACATATATTGCAGAGAGTGCAATTCAAGGTCCTTGGTTAAATTAAGATGGATTTTTCCAAGTGAGTCAAATCCTAATGAAAGAGAGTGAAAAAAAAGTTCCAAGTTAAAACTTACTTTTTAAATTCGCAAGAGCCACAGAGTTGACAGTCATAATGGTGGGTTGAACTCAAATAAACCTGTGACAAAGAAAACAGGGCTGCTTCTGGACAATGTTTGGAGGATATCACTTGTCCCTATGGTTCCTATCCCGTGACCTTGGAATTCAACTGAGAAGCCTGCAGTTTTAAACCAGGTAGGAACTGCTCGTTGTTCTGATGGCTGTTGAGATTGGCTTGTTGCTGTCGTTTTGTTACTCTGCCTGTGATTTCCAAGTCCTTACTTCATTCTATCCTTTTTAAACCATGTACAGTATGAATGAATATATTGAAATCTTTTTAATGAAGTATGAGTATAGCTTGAATACACTGATCACATATCACTGAAAATCACTTTTCCCTTTCATTTTAAACCTCTTGCTTCAGAGGCCAATTCCTTAGTAGTCGTCTTAGTTTTTATTACAGAAAAAAAGTGTACATTTCTGATATGGGAGTTGTGTTTATCCATAAGTTTATTTTAAGTTAGATGCAGAAACTCCATGTCTTTTGCTAATTACTTGAACTTCGCATGCTCATTAATTTATCTGTAACAAGACTCATTGTATCAAAGATATACAACCTTGAGACATTCAGGTGCCATTCAGAGAACAGCTTTGTTGACCTAGTCAGCTTCTAACTGACCCCACATCTTCCTATCTCTATGCAGGAGCACAGCACTATCAGACATAGTCCAGTAGTGGGCGATGATGTAACACACCACATCATGTCTCTAAAGGCTGCTGCTGTTTGCTTGATGAAACTGATTTCCTGACACCTGTTGTTATTTTTTACTTTATCTTTGCTTTTTTGCCTTTAGTCTCTCATCAGACTGCAGAGTCAGTGCTTACAAAAAGTCCATGTAGCCAGTTCTTGCCTAATGTTGACGTGATTTTTTGAGTTACAACTTACTATACCAAACTTTTGGCTTTTCCTTTCTTCTCTTCTGGTTGTTCTGGAATATGTCATTTTAAATATTAGGCCTGCTCTGAGAATAGCAGAAATGAATTGTTTGACTCATCCCTTTCACTGAGTACATATACCTCAGACCAACCCAGAGGATGTGTCCAGCACTGAGGCAGTTCTGGAAGTGAGTGGTAGGACCCCTTTTGATATCTCTTCTGGGAGTTGAGTAATCCTCACCATGAGTCATTGGCTTGATTATGCCACTTACCTACCTTACTGGAATTTCAGTGAAAACATGTAAAATCACAAGGAAAGATCCTTTGTATAATTTGTCTTAACTGTCAAAGTATGCACATTACACTTAAGATTTCGTATCACCAAAATTAATGAGGACATGCTAAA